TGTAATTTTCAGAGGTTCATTAATAGTATGTAAAAATGATTTTTGTGTATTGGTTTTGTTCACTGTGACTTTGCTAACTTATTAGTTCTAGTACCCCTCTCTTTCCCCCAAAGATTCCTTCCAATCTGTGTGTCTTTTTCTTACTTATTGTCCTAGCTATGACCTCCTGTAAAATTTTGAAAAGAAGTGGTGAAAGCAAACAGCCTTGTCTAGTTCCTGATCTTAGGGGGAGAGCTTTCAGTCTTTCATCATTAAATATGTTAGCTGTAGGTTTTACATAGATGTCCTTTATCGGGCTGAGGAAGTTTCCTTCTATTCCTAGTTTGCTGCGTTTTTTTTACCATAAATGTGTTGGATTTCACCAAGTATTCTTCTATTGAGATGATCATATGGTTTTTCTCTTTAATTCTGTTAATATGGTGTGTTCTGTGATTTTGAGATGCTAAACCAACCTTTCATACCTGGGATAAACCCTACTTGGTCATGGTGTATTACCTTTTTTATATGTTGTTGGGAAGTTTGTTTTTTAAACGCCAACTCATTAGATGTTTATTCACAAATCCTTTCTCCGTAATGTCATAGACACTTCCGTAGTAATTACAATTCCAAAATAGTGGTCAAAATGAGTAATTTAACTGTAACTGAAATCCACCTTGTGATTTATGCACTCCTTTATATAGGTTTCATTCAGTTGTGTGCCTATGTGCCAGGCATTGTTAGGTGTTGATACAGAAATGAATAGGACAGATACATGCCCTTGTCCTCACAGCAGTGGTAAAAACAACCAAAATGAACAACTGTAATATAGTTTGATGATTGTTAGGCAATATATCACGCAACTGAGATTTAAAGAAAGGGAACTCAAGGTTATAGAGAATAAAATAAAATGCCTCCTGGAGGAAGCTATCTGAAGGGTAAACTGAACTTAACCAGGGTTACCATATAATTTACCACCCACACAGGGACACTTTTGAGAGAGGGACAAAAAGCATAACTAGGATGTAGGATCATCTTAGATTTAACCAAAGGGGAAAGAGTGTTTTAAGGCAGAAAAAACTGTGTAAGTGAAAAAGAGGCCAAAGACCTGTTTAAAAAAGAAAAACTAGCAGAGACCAAATTGTGAAGACTTTGGAAATCACAAAACAACTTGGATTTTATTCCAAGGACATTGAAGGTTCTAAGCAAAGGTAATTCATCAAATTTGTTTGAAAAAGATAATCTAGTTACAGGGTGGAGAAAAATGTGAGCAAAAACTATCAACAGAGATCATTTAGGGGAAAATACTAGTGCGTATGAGTTTCTTTTTAGGGTCATAAAAATGTTCTGGAGCCCTAGTGGCGCAGTAGTTAAAAGCTCGGCTGCTAACCAAAAGGATGGCACTTCAAATCCACCAGCCACTCCTTGGAAACTTTTTATGGGGCAGTCCCACTGTCCTACAGGGTTGCTATGAGTCGGAATTGACTCAACAGCAACGAGTTTGATACTGGGGTTAAAAATGTTCTACCAAAAAAGAAAAAAAAAAAAAAAATCCAAACATGAAGAAAATGCAATCAACTGGTTATTTTACACCAAGGCTTATCATCAGAAACCATACCTGTTTTCCACAAAATGAATTTTAGATGAAAATACTACGTAAGGTAAACAGCCTCTTGACCTGGCTTTGTTGACCACGGTATGTCCACTCCAGCAGCATCCAGGCCCCCCGTGTATCCTGTCAATGTAGTTTCTACAATATTGCTCCAATATGAAACAACTTCATGCTTAATGTTAAAATGATTTTTAAAATCACCCATATTCATTCTACCCTCACGCAAACATTGTTTTACTTCCTCCCAGATTTTGTTCTATGCAAAGATTCCTAGGGTATTTTACATAGGTGTAATAAAATCAGGAGGCAGTGGTGGTTCAGTGGTAGGATTCCAGGCCAATATACCTCATGCACAGCTACCACGTGTCTGTCAGGGGTAGACTGCCTGTTGCTATGATGCTCAACAGGTTTCAGTGGAGCTTTCCAGACTGACTAGGAAGAAAGGCCTGGCAATTTACTTCCAAAAATCAGCCAATGAAAACACGATCTACAATGGTCCAATCTGCAACCAATCATGGCAATGGCACAGGACCGGGCTACATTTGGTTCCGTTGTGCATGGGGTCACCACAAGTCAGGGGCCAACTCAATGGCAGCTAACAACAAATAAAATATGTACAAAAAAAAATGTTCTACAATTGATTGTGGCGATGGTTGCACAACTCTGTGAATACACTAAAAATAACCGTACATTTTAAAGGAGTGAATTGTATGGTATGTGAAGTATAGCACAATAAAGATGTTATTTAAAAAAAAAAAATCATTTAGGATATTGTTAAAAGCTCCAGTTGAGAGATGACAGGGGCTCTAAATTAACGTGTTAGAAGTGAGGATGAATTCAAGAACTATTTAAGAAAATGTACAAGGCCTAGTGATTGACTAGATATGGAAGTGAAGGAGAGAGAAGCGTCAAAGTTAACTTTCAAGTTTCTGGCTTAAGCCAACTCGATGAGTGATAGTGCCATTTACTGACAGAAACTGGACCAGAAGCCAGAATGAGTGTGCCTTAAGGAAGAGGGGAAAGGTACATTGAATATGAGATACCTTGAGACATCCAAGTTGGGTATCCAAGTTTGGATCTAGCAGAAAGGTCTGGGCTGAAGCTAATCAACACGAGTCATTGACATGAACTGAATTACTTAGAGCACATGTTAAGAGAGGAAGGTGAAGATTGGTTAGAGGTGAAATCAGCTAGGGTGTGAGAAAAGGCCAGAGGCAGGAGGAAAATCATGGGAGCATAGTGTCAAGTCCAGTTTAGTGTTTTAAATAATGAGTGTTCAGCAGTGTAAAATACTATCATGTGTCAAACAAAATGAGTAGCCTCTGAACTCAGAAAACTGATGTTCAAGTTTCAGTGAACAGATAGTGGTAGAAACCAGTCTCAAGCAGGTTCAGTGGTAAATGGTGAGATGTGGCCCATCAGAACACAATGAACACCGAGGATTCAGGTTTGCGAAGGGAAGGAGGACTGGGGAGGGGAAATTTTTTGTTTTTAAAAACGTTTGGTCATGTTTAAAGAAAGGGAAGGAACGAATTGGAGAGAGAGAAGATACTGAAGGTATGAGCTGGCTGCATAAGAATCAGCTCTGGGGAGGATTGCTTGAGGTTTGTCAGGGAGTAGCGAGTGCCCAGGAATCCATATTTAAGTTGCTGACATGATTCTAGTGCACAGGCAAGTTTTGGAGCCAGCTGAATCATAGAGTGAAGTTCCTAACAAGATAGGAAAGAATGGAACCTTAAAGATATATTAAATATAGAACTTTAATATTCCTATTCTCTTTCTGAATGGGGAAGATAAACCAATGGTGGATGCGGGTACAGACAGATTCAGTAATGGATATTTAAGGGCATTTCCCCTGTATTATCTTTCCTGTGAAACAGAAGTAATCTGCTAACAGAGGAAAAGTTGGGGAGGGTGAAGATTTAATAAGATTGGAGGTGTCCAACTGTCAAGAATGAAAAACAAGCTTACTATTGTTGAGGGCCTTGTTGAGGTTGGTGACCATGAATTATATAGTGGCTCCAATCTGTGCTATCATGTAGTTTTCTGTAGTAGTGCTCAGCTACCCAGCTGCAGAGGTAAGGCAGATATAGTTGAACTTGTCTAGGTTTCAGATTTAGTCACACAGTTCTAAAAGAATAACAGAGCAAAGGAGTTTAGGATACTGGCAAGAGAGTGGCAGAAGAATTAAGAGGACAGATCTAAGCTGGAGGGAGATACTGAAGAAAAAAAGTAACTGATAGAACTCCTGATAAGAGTAAAGAACTTGGTATATTGGATTTGACTCTTTCAAACTCTGCATATACTTGCTTTCATTCAACATTTGGGATACAGCCATAAATAAGAAGTCCCTACACTCAAAACAATTGAGCATTTGGCAAGTAGATACATGAGACTAAATGCACAGCTCCTGTCCGGAGGCAAGATGAGAAGGTAGAGAGGGTCAGGAGCTGGTTGAATGGACACAGGAAATCCGGGGCGGGAAGGAGTGTGCTGTCACAGTATAGGGAGAGCAACTAGGGTCACATAACAATGTATGTATAAATTTTTGTATGAAAGACTAACTTGAATTGTAAACTTTCACTTAAAAAAAATTCAAAAATGGAGCATTTGGGAAAAAAGCATTAAGACCAATAAGAATACTCAGTAGGATGATCAGTACAATTAACAAGATCAAGGTACAAAGTACTCAAGACATGAGAAAGGGCTCTTCCCAGCACAGGGTTCATTTACTGCACTAAATAGATCTTGAACGATTCAGAAAAACAGCCACAGGCAGAGCTGGGATTAAAAGACCGTTCTGAGTAGAGCGAGTAACAGAGGCAAAGGCAGAAAAGTATAGCAAAAGCTATAAAGATATAAGTTGTGGGAAAACATTGTGTATCTCACGGATAAAGCTATACAATGTAAAGTCAAATTACAGAAGGCCTTAAATGTGCTAAGAAATCTGGACTTCAGAAGGCAGTGGGGAGAGGCAGTTAAAGTAGATAAACATGATCAAGGATGTGCTCTAGAAGACTGGTAATCTAGAATCAAATCCTTATTATTTAAGGCCTAACCCAATGGTTCTCAACTGGGACTGCATAAAAGAATCACCTACAGTACTCTGAGAGGTCCACCCACCAGAGATCCTGGGTCAATCTGTTGGGGTGAGGCTCAGGAATCATCCTAAACTTTTAAAAGTACCCCAGATGATTCTAATAAGCAATCAGGGTTGAAAGTCACTGGGCAAAACTAATTGTTACTCTGAGCGCTGTAGTTTGTTAATTTAAAAAGGCTCAAATTAGACAGTAAAAAAGGCAAAGATACATGACAAACGAAATACTGAAATCACCTATAACCAAACACTAAGCGGACCCAGTAAAATCCAAATTAAAAGCACAGCTGTACCATTTTCATCACAAAAAAAAACATTGAATATATACAATTTATTTAATAAATTAATGTCATTCAAAATAACAGTGCCAGAACATTATGCAGTTGAACATGCTAGTAATGTCTGTCCATGAAGCACCTGTGCTCATGTTAGATTGGCGGCGCCCCGCTACTGCTAGTGGTTCCTGGGATTAATGCCAGAGCAGCACTAGTTATCTGCTCTTCTGCACAGCTAGTGCAGAGAATTCCTGAACAGTTCACCTTCCTAATCCTAACCCCCCCCAAACACACACACAACAGGTTAAAAAAAAAAACCCACCCTGACAACTAACAGATATCTATACACAATCACTCTACAGTAATGCTTGTTATTAAATTAACGAAGATGTAATGACCTGGTTAACCCACTCTAAATCTTTAAGATGGAGAATACATCAGCAGCAGGTAGTTAAATGCATGAGCCAATGTTAATGTAATACAGAAAGTGGAGGCATTTACTGATTAAAGCTCCACATAGACCCGCACGATGAGGGGCTAGCAATTCTTTTTGCAAGCCCAGCAACTCAGTCCACACCTGGTAAATGACCAGCTGATTGGAAGACCTGTATTCTAGACAGACAAGTTAGTGAAAAGGGAACACATGCACCTAATAGTATAGTTAGACTGGTCCTGCAGTCATAGCTTTCTTTCCCTGTTAATACCGTAAAATGGAAGATCTTCCTCAACTATAGTATAGCATTTAGACAGCATTTCTATACCAACATGGACATTAGTGTTAAGTGCAGCTGAATTAATTACACTGAAGAAAACTATATTCCAGAACTTCAGAACAGAAGCACAGGAACGAAATACATATACTGAAATAACCTCAGCATAGTGTCATATACCACACTAGGAACAGGAAATTACCTTTATAAGTGAACTTTTTGAGCTGTACATACACAGGGCTAACAATCTGTTAGATAATCCAGATTCTTAAACTCTCATGATACATATAAAAATTTCTCAATTATTGGATAATCTATTTCATATTATGGAAGCATATCTTTCTGTAAGACTCACTGATATATATTATACTGATGCAAATATTAAGTAGGGCATAAAAATAAAATTTATCAAAGATAAACTTTTATGTACTCATATTTAGTCCTTTCATAGCCTCTTGTTTAGCAAAGAAAATGACAAAGCACATAAATCAGGCGTGCACTCTCTGAACTCCCGACTATACAGGTGGTAGTGCAACCATTTCTCCATCCAGTTCAAACTCCTCTGTCCCATCTGGTGAAAAAAGGTAAGTTGGTGGTTTCCATGGAGATTCTTCAAGGCAGGATGGATAAAGTTTCCCCACAGTGCATCGAAAATCTCTCCCCAAGTCCCACAGTACACGTTCAGATATATGCTGCCGCAGGGACCACCGGTCGAGTTCCAGATCATACTGGTAGGTGACATACTTAGCTCTCTCATTTAAGTGGGTTTCTCGCATAAACACACACAGAGAATTGGAGATTACAACAGCTCTTACACAGGGGTCAGAGTACCTCTTAGCAGGGATGTTGGCTGCCATTTTCCACTCATTCTTATTCACATCATAAATTTCCACAGTTACTGAAGACCCATCTACAGTGCCAGAGGGGAGTCTTATGCCAGAATTGGTGGCAATATGCAACCCTCCAATATAGAAAATTTTATCACCAAAAGCTGCTGCTGAAGCAAAGGACCTGCTAGTCTGTCTCATGGCCATTTCTACCCATGAATCAGACCTTGAAAAATAACAGTACATGAGATTCAGTGTCATCACATAAATGCAGTCATGAACCACAACTGCCGCACTCCACTGCCAAGCACAAGGCAAGGGGCTGACCATCGTCCACTCATCCTTTTCAGTGTCGTATCTTTCTACAGTCCTCCTGTTGAGTTCCCCACCTACGCTATCTCCTCCAATTGCATAGATATAGCCTTCACAGCAAACCAAAGATGGTTTTACACGGACAAAAAGCATCGGCGTCTTTGGAAACCAGGTATTTTGCTGTGCATCAAACCAATAAAAGCAATTCACAGTTCTGAAGGCAGTCTGAAGTTTGCTTGTTTTACTGTGATTTGTTTTTGTGTTTTTAAGAGGAACTTGACCCCCTGCTATATAGATGTCATTATCAGGAGTTACAACGGTTCCAACCTTATGCAAATCAGCTGGTGGGCTGCACAGCTTGTAAACTTTTTCTGCCTGGGGACTGTAACAGACTGAAGAGTAGAGACTACAAGGATTTTCTGAAGATGCTTCAATGAAAATCATCATCTCCTCTTTAGTCATCCCTAGTCTTGGTTTGAAAAACTTCGGCATGGATTTATACAGACCTTGAACCACCACAGACTTGTCATTGGGTGGCAGACCTTGAAACCAAGCTCTCTGTGTTACTTCTGAAAGTGCATCAATTCTGATTTGGCTAAGAACTGAAGACAAATACTGTGATCTTGATTCCGTGTTGTACTCTAGCCACAGCATAGCAGCTTCACGAACTGTCTCCTCCTTTTCTACATTTAAATTGTCACTACTGAGAATGTCTATCAGTAGGTCATGGGACAACTGCATGAAAGCTTCCTGGTGATACACAGCCGTGAACTTGTGCTCCACCATTCTTTTAGCACTTTGTTTTAATTCTTCACAACTGAAGAGATCGGCAAAACTCAACAACCGCACACAATTCTCTGCATTTATTTTTTTAATTAAATATTCTCGACAACGTTGTAACACATCTTCTACCTAAAATGAAAAAAGAAAGAAAAGCTGTTAAGGGCAGGATGAATCAAAAACCAAACCAGTTGCTGTCTAATACATTCTGATTCATCGTGAACCATATATACAGAGCAGAACTGCTCCACAATTTTCAAGGCTGTGTCCTTTCCTTTCGAAGATCGTCAGGCCTTTCTTCTGAGGTGCCTCTCTGGGTGGGTTCAAACCTCCAACCTTTTGGTTAGTAGGTGAGCATTTAACCATTTCCACCACCCAGGGATTCCTAAGGGGAGGTTAGACACATTTCACTTCTATGTAAACACAGACATATTAACCAGATACGCTTATTGTATTTTATTTTCAGATACATATGTTGGGCCTAAAGGATAATGTCTTTCAGTAATAATAAAATTATAAGGCTATGAATAGTTTTGCACTTCTTCTTCCTACCCATTGGCCTACTTAACTGTCCTATTTAGGAGCTGGTAGTACAGCATCAAATAGGCACTAAAAAAAAAAACCCAAATGGCCTTAAGGGAAAGGTGAGAAAATTCATACATAAGTTACACTTTTCTAGGCTTTTAAAAAATATTGCAAGAACCAAATGAAAACACTGTCAGTCAAAGTATACAAAATGATTACTGTTAAATAGCTTAAATCTGGTTTTCTCAATTTGGACAAGGCAGACATTTAAAACCAGAAAAATCGTGCAAAATGACTAAAAGAAGTGTTATTATGTGTCTTTCTTAGCTATAGAGGTAATTCAACCAATCAAAGGGAAAAATCAATATTTACTTTCAGTTGTAAACTACCTACACTTAAATGACCCATCTTAGCCACTCCAAGTTTCCTGGATTTGTTTTTTCTTAAGGTAGATTTCAGTTGGATCTGAAATACTACCTACTACGTATTCAACATCACAGTGGTTAACAAGAAGCAGTTTACAGTGAGGAGTCAGGCTGTTTGGATTCAAAACTTGGATTGGCCCGTCAGTATTTGAATATAAGGCAAGTAGCTTCACATCCCTAAGCCTCAGCTTTTTCTTGTATAAAATAGGGAAACAGTAGTTATCTACCTCAAATAATTATTATTAAGATCAGATGAGAATCTATATAAAGAATCAGTACAGTATCTGGCACATAAAAATATTACCAATTCATGTGGTTAATAGTGAAAATAATGTCGATAGTCATAAAATGCTCCACCTCAGGCTTGCTAGGGCAACTCAGTCCAAAAGGCAGAGTTCTGTTTTGCATCTGGGCAAGCATATTTGCATGAGTACACAAAATTCATTAAAATCACAGAAAAAATTATAGGGAACAGTATTGATTTTAATCAGTAATGAAATGTTCTGGAATTTAATTTCTTACTAATTCTGAAAAACATCTGCTTTTAATTCTTGGCTTTAAAAAAGTAGTGAAAATTTGCAAGCTATAGAAAGACACTGCTTACAGTAAGCATTTTTCCTTCACAAGCTTGGATTTATGACGTAAATGCCTTTGATTCTAAGGCACCAGGAAGCTACTATGACCCCAGGCTCCCCGGAGTTGAAAACACACTAGGACACTGTATAATTTTAGAAAAAAAAGGAAGTACATAAGGCACAGGCTGATTTCTGGTTCCCAGAGTTACATTCCCGTATAGGCATTCAACCAGTGTCATTCATTCATTCATTCAGCACATACTTATCATGAACTATGCTACCAAAATGTAACCTTTGGTCTGAAGGCTATCCCCTTGGAGAAACTTTCTGTTTCTGAAATACAAAGTGTTATCCCAAAACAGGGAAAGCAATGAGGAGAATACTTTTATGTTCTTCTTAAAATTTAACAAGAGAATTTGCCACGAAATAGAGTAAAATAGTTTTCATAGACAATTACATAAACCATGACCTTTTATTTTAGCTTAAAAACTTCTCCTTAATAGTTCAATATGATCACATGGCCATGATCAATATTTAAGTTCCATAATTTTCATGAGAATCTTAAAATTTTCTGTGTGAAAAGTAATATCAAAATGTGTACATTTAAGCTATTAACACACAAAAAAAACCAAAGCACTTAAATTCAACAAATTCTGTTAATGTTTTACCTGAAATCTAAATTTTTGGGTAAATCAGACAAAATATGAAACCAGTATGAAATTTTCACCTATCTGTTTAATAAACTGAGTTAAGTCCCCATCAAAAAACTATTTTTTGGCTGATCAAATCCTATTTTGTTTTTCCCTTACGCTTTTCAAAGAGAAGAAACCTTTACCTTATAAAATCTGCAATAAGACATGACTGATGAAACTATATTTCTTGAAAAAATAAATAACAAGTCATAATATATAACTTCAGAGAAAAACTGCTTACCTGCAAGAAGCAAGCTGTTTCATAAAGCTGTTCAACAGTGCTGTCATTTATTGCCAAGTTACCCGTGTATGCGTAAGTTATTATTATCTGTAAGGTGGCTGCGTCAACGTTCCTCAGGTGTACATGTGTCTGTTTGCTTTCACTAAGTCCACTCATGAACATGGCCCTATAGTAGGAAAGAAGAAAACAAGCCTTAAGAGTTTAGAGTAAAACAAATGTAGGCCTAAAAAGACTAAACAACATTGGATGTTTAATTAACATTTGTTGATAAACAACTTATAAGCAAGACTTTTTATTTTCCCATACAAAAATTTATATATACATTGTTATGTGACCCTAATTGCTCTCCCCGTACTGTGACAGCACACTCCTCTTTTCCACTCTTGATTCCCCATGTCCATTCAACCAGCTCCTAACCCTTTCTGCCTTCACATCTCACCTCCGGACAGAAGCTGCCCATTTAGTCTCCTGTAGCTACTTGAGCTGAGAAGCACACTCTCCACCAGTATTACTTTATGTCCCACAGTCCAGTCCTTGTCTGAAGAGCTGGCCTCGGAAATTGTTTTAGTTCTGGGCTGATAAGAGAGTCCAGGGGCCATGCTTTCTGGGGTTCCTCCAGTCTCAGTCAGACCATTAAGTCTGGTCTTCTTCCTAGAATTTGAGTTCTGCACCCCACCTTTCTCCTGCTCTGGGACTCTCTGTTGTGTTCCCTGTGAGGGCGATCATTGGTGGTAGCCGGGTACTAACTAGTTCTTCTGGTCTCAGGCTGATGAAGTCTCTGGTTTATGTGGCCCTTTCTGTCTCTCAGGCTAATACTTTCCTTGTGTGTTTAGTGTTCTTCATTTTCCTTTACTCCAGGTGACTGGGACCAATTGATGCATCTTAGATGGCCACTTGCAAGCTTTTAAGACCCCAGACACCACTGACCAAAGTAGGATGCAGAACATTATTTTAATAATCTTTGTTATGTCAATTGACCTAGATGTCCTCTGAAAGCATGGTCCGCAGACCCCTGGCCCTGCTACTCTGTCCCTTCAAGTGTTTGATCGTATTCAGGAAACTTCTTAGCTTTGGTTTAGTCCAGTTATGCTGACTTCCCCTGTAGTGTGCTGTCCTTCCCTTCACCTAATTCTTATCAACTATCTAGTTAGTAAATACTCCTCACCCTTCCTCCCCAACCCTGTGTTTAAACCTCTTCTTGAGTTCTTATAATAGTGGTCTTACACAATATTTGCCCTTCTGTGAATGACTAAATTCACTCAGCATAATGACCTCCAGCTTCCTCCATGTTATGTTTCACGGCTTCATCGTTGTTCTTTACCGTTGCATAGTATTCCACTGTGTGGATATACCATAATTTATCCATTCATCCGTTGATGGGCACGTAGGTTGTTTCCATCTTTTTGCTATTGTGAACAGTGCTGCAATGAACATGGGTGTGCATGTATCTATTAGTGTGACGGATCTTATTTCTCTAGGATATATTCCAAGGAGCGAGATAGCTGGATCGTATGGTACTTCTATTCCTAGCTTTTTAAGGAAGTGCCAAATCAATTTCCAAAGTGGTTGTACCATTTGACATTCCCACCAACAGTGTGTAAGTGTTCCAGTCTCTCCACAACCTCTCCAGCATTTATTACTTTGTGTTTTCTGGATTAATGCCAGCCTTGTTGGGGTGAGATGATAGATATCTCACTGTAGTTCTAATCTGCATTTCTCTAATAGCTAATAATCGTGAGCATTTCTTCATGTGTCTGTTAGCCACCTGAATATCTTCTCTGGCAAAGTGCCTGTTCATATCCTTTGCTCATTTTTTAACTGGGTTATTTGTCTTTTTGTTGTTGAGGGTTTGCAGTATGTTGTAGATTTTAGAGATTAGATGCTGATCAGATCTGTCGTAGCCAAAAATCTTTTCCCAGTCTGTAGGTTGTCTTTTGACTCTTTTGGTGAAGTCTTTTGATGAGCGTGAGTGTTTTATTTTTAGGAGCTCCCGGTTATCTAGTCTTTCTCTGGTGCTTGTGCATTGCTACTTATGGTTCATATTGTGTTTATGCCATGTATTAGGGCTCCTAGCATTGTCCCTATTTTTTCTTCCATGATCTTTATTGTTTTACATTTAAGTCTTTGATCCATTTTGAGTTAGTTTTTGTGCATGGTGTGAGGTATGGGTTTTGTTTCAGTTTTTTGCAGATGGATATCCAGT